TGAACTCACTGAAATAAGGGAGGGAGGCATCACCTCAGGTAAGCTTAGCAGGATCCTAGCAGCATTTATGTCAGTCACTCCTTTCAGGAAGAGCCTTAAAGCTTTGGCTGGACAACCTGTGCTGATTTAGGCAAGTAAGTGTCCAGGGGTAGTACTGTACCATGATTTCTTTATTTTTTAAGGCTGAGCTTGGGCATTCTGGCACTGCCATTCTCATCCTTTGCTGTCGTATTGAAAGCAGAGCTACAAAGTGCGGACTTGTCTCATGCTTTTCCCAGTCCCAGTGTGGCTGCATTAAGCAGCTAGAGCTGATGGCTGCTGCAGGCGGTGCTGTAGATTAGAGGCTTCATTAACTCGAGTGTATCGCTCGAGTCGCACGCGGCTGTTGTTCCAAGTGTGCTTTGTGTATTAAGGTTATGGGTCTGGTTCAGGAGCCTGTACTTATACATAATTCCTCTTAATGGACAGAGATGTATTTCTGTCATTCTCTTTTCAAGTATCTCCATCCAGAACACACCCAGTGTAACGGAAGAGCCAAAGTTATCTTTCTCTGTGGGTGGCTGTGTAATACTGAGGAACCAATAACTCCAGTGAAATGGGGCTCTGAGGAAAAAATTGGCATCTGGCACCGTGTGGAAACTTTTGAGCTATGAGAAGATGATCAGTTCTGTAACTCCCTTCCCCTGTGGAGGCTGATGTGGATATTATATTAGCGCTTCATTTTTTCACTGCCCTTCATATCACACAAATGACCAGTAGATTTGTGATTACGATGGAGATTTTGCTTACTGCAGCGTGCCCAAAATGAAGGAGATGGTTACTGTGTCTTGTGCCCTTCTCATATTCATTGCTTATACCACTATCATCTAAATAGCATTTGAGCTAATGGGCTAACGGCAGGTTTTTGTATGACAAACGTGTCAGTGTGGAGCTTCCCTCCAAGTAATGCTGAATGTGAGTGGGTATCCAGGTAACAAGGAGCAGAAAGCTGAGTCTAGGAGAGGACTGCATGCCCCCAGAGCTGAGAGGTGGTGGGTGGGCTGTGCGGGAGCCTTCCTGCCTGGCATGATTTATGGATCCATGCCAAGCATACTGCTGTGGGATGGATTTCAGACATCTGCAGAGAGCTCAGGGCTTATGCTGCAGACTGATCCACCCTTGCACAGGATGCAGTTGCTCTCTGGGTAAGTGGAACTTGTGTTGCTTGTATTGGTTTTAAGCTTGCAGGTGCTAATCTGCCTGCAAACGAGGGTGGTGGCTGTTTTGGTTCACCTAGTGGTGAGCTAATGAAAACACCTGGTTTCTGCCAGCAGGCTACACTTTTTCCCAAAAGTTAGCTTATTTAAGTTACTGCAGCACATGTACTTCTAAGAGTGAGGAAATTAGGTAAGCCATGTTACTGAAATAGCCTTCAGACTTTTTGTTGGGCTTTTGTTTTTTGCCCCTCACCAGATAACATCTTTGGAGACCAACATGGCACCAGTTAGTATCAGGCACTGAATTTACGATTCTGTATCAAAATAAGTCCATTTACATTAGCAGCAAGTAGTCTCTGATTGTGTTACTGCTTCAGATTGAGGGTAGGTTTGAAGCTAAGCCAGCTGCACATTTTTTCAGCACGTGCTAGACACATGGGGCAGATCCTCAGCCTTATGAGTCACTGTGTCTGCTGTGGTTTCAGCAGAAGTGGGCTTGTGCTGGCTGAGAGCCTGAACCCACAGCTCCTGTCTTCTGGTTTTGTTGTGGCCTTAGTCAGAGCTGGTTTGTGTTCTGCTGCAAGAGACTAAGCCTGCTGCATGGCTTTTCCTTGCAACCCTGATATAAAAGGAGTGTGACCACACTTATTTAACTGATGCTTCTGAAGTTTTCCAGGTTATTTATTGGCTCATGCAAGCATGGAACTCCTCCTTCAGTGTAAAGGGCATTACCCTGGTATGCAGGTGCATGGTAATTTGTGAGCATGGTCTGCATTTGTATATGTGTGGTGATTGCAGCAGGGGTTTTGCAAGTGAAACCCTTAATACATTAGTGTGAATCCTGGGAGCGTGTGGGTTAGTGATAGTGTAGGTTGATGCTTGCATCTGCAACCCTGGCTGCCCCTTCCTGTTGAAACTGGGTGGGAAAGTCCAATTAATCTTCATGTAATCTGTATCTGATACTGGCTTGTCCAGGTCACGTCTTGGCATGAGAACAGATATTGGAATTAAAATCTGTGACCCCACTGTCATACTTTGACCTTACATCCTCCATTCTCTTAAAACATATTGGTCTGGTTACAAAACAGGAGGGCTACCAGCTTTTAATCAGGTAACAGGGTGGCAACTCTCTAAATATGCTGTTGTTTTCCCTTCTAATTTTAACAACGTTTCACAAGCGTTCAGCCCTCAGGACATGTTACACACGTGGAGCATTTCATTCAGTTTTGCACTAGGCACAAGACAGGCTGAGCTATCTCTCCTGGATTTCTCAGCACAGCACTGCTGTATTTGCTAGATTTCTGCCTGGGAAACACCCCCAGGATGTCCCTGCCCGTGGCAAGGGGGGTTGAAACTAGGTGATCGTTGTGGTCCTTTTCAACCTAGGCCATTCTATGATTAGATGACTTGTGCATAATACACAGAAGAAATATCTGGATTTTAGTGAGAAGCCAAATAACTGCCCTGCCCCATCCTGAGGGCTGCCCAGTGATGCTGGCTGTGTGCTGAAGCTCCGTGTAGCTTCATGGCCATGCATCAAGGTCCCAGCAGTGCTGGGGATGCAGCCCCACCTGACCTCATGTACCCAGGAAGGGTGTGTGCCCCTGCAGTGACAGCACTGCAGCTCCGATGGGCGAGGAGAAAAGACAGATCCATTATGGCTCGGCTTTTGAAATGTCTGCAAGGGTTTCTTTTGTGAGAGTGGCAGTGAAGGAAACGCTTAGAGGGGCTTGCTTTCTGTTGCACAAAAGGGAAGATCTGGAATCCCAGGAGGGAAAAGCAAGCCTTGCTCTGAGATAAGATGCTGGCAGGCAAATGCAATTATTTTTTTTTGTTTTCATTTCTGAGAGCCAATGGGCTGCCCTGAAAGCATGGGTCTGTGACAGCTCTCTTGGCCCCTGCAGAGACATCTGAACTGACTGGTGATTCTGTTGGTCACTGGCGGTGGTACATTGCTGACTGCACTCCAAAAGCAATCTCCAGAACTGCTGACAGCTGTAGGATGGCTACAGATGGGAGTCAATCATTTCTACTTCTGATTAAACAAAGTTAGTTAAAATAGCCCTGCTTGTGATCCTGTGCCAGCCCAGCAGACAGAACAGATGATGCTTGGTAACAGAGAAAAGAAAAACTAATCCAAATAAAACAAGTCCTAACAAAAACGTGTGTATCTGAGCCAAGCTTTAAGTTCAGGGTGAAGTGTGTTTGTCTATATTTTCATCTTATGAGTTGGCATCTGCTAAAGAGAGGCTTCAGCATCTTGAGGGCTCCTTGGAGCAGACACCCCTGTGACTATGTGGTCTGGCTGTTGTAGTGATTCCATTCTCCTGGTGCACTGTGCGGCACAGGCAATGCCCTAACACAGTTTCCTTGGCCCTGGAACCATCTGCCCCTGCTGTAGGCTGCTATGGGACTGTTCCCTGTGTAAATCTTCCTGTAGGAGTTTGTTGAAAGCGAGATTCCATGTTCCTTTTTGAGGCTTTCCTCCTCACTGTTTTGCAAGTGTCTGCAGATGCTTTTTCTAAGATGTAGGTGTGACAGCACGGGGCTACAATATCTGACAGCTCCTGGTTCGCATTTGGTGCTGAGCCAAACTGACCTTGAAAGCAGTCTGGTGAGCATGGCCAGTGCAACTGCTCAGCATCCAGCATCTTTTAATTTCTTCATTAAAGAATTGAAGACAAGGTGGAGCTGCTGTTGTCCTTGTATTGCATGCACGTGGGCACTGCTGTTTCTGTGTGAGTGGCAGTTGGGTGTATCCTGCCCTGCCTTGGGAAGGGGCAGGAGAGAAGGCTGCCTGCCAGCTCTTCCTGGCCCTGCAGGTCCCCCCTCCCTGGCAGCTAGATAGGGACTCGTGGTTGTAGCCCTTTTCCTGTCCTCTGGAAAACACCATAAAGCTTGTCTAGAACTCCTCATCTCTTTTACCTTCTCAAGCCATTTATTTGAATATACTTCATAGGTATGTGCCTTGTGCAGTCTTCTATAGCCTACTCCCATCACAACACAGCCAAAGTAAAGCATTGGATAGAGCAAACTTGAGCAGTGCCCTGTGCTAGGGACAGACAGCAGCCTAAAGTGAAGAAATCCTACCTGGAGATGCTCATTGGGAAAGAGACATCGAGAGCTATGCTTGCAGTCTCACATGCCAGCACTCCTGGGACATGGTGAGCCTTGCTCACAGGCTTGCCAGCCGGCTTGATGCAAAACATCCTGTGCTGCATGCTGGTGTGCTGCCATGCAGCTGGGTGGCCCTGCAGTGCCCCCCCCCGTACTGCTGCCTGCAGGCACTGACCTGCAGTCTGCCCTGAGAGGCTGATGCTGGAAGCAAATGTTGCCCCACTGCCAGGCAGAGGTGCTGGCAACCTGCTGGGGGACCGGACTGCTGCTCCACATTGGCTCCCTTCTCACTGCACCGGGGGGAAAAAGCGTTGTATGGAAGGTTTTATTCTCAATGCCAACAGGTTTGCATTCCTGGGTTAATCTGGTGATTAGGCTGAATTTTGATGTGACTACAAGTCAGGCAGGATCTTTGCTTGGAAATGAAACTTCTTATTGCAGTTCTCATTTCTGCATGTAGCTGCGTGTGGGGCAGCCCAGCCCCACAGAGGTGCCCTTTTTAGATGCCAGTCTGATTAATCCTCACCCGCTGCCTGCTATCCTGTGTCTCTCACCAAAGGGCGACTCTTCTAGTGCCAAGAACTTGTGCAGTAATATATCTGAATTCACCACCCAAGGACTGCGAGGGCCTGTGCCAAAATTTTAATTGTATTTTTACGGCAAGTAGCCACAGCTTGTTCTTTGAAAAAAAAAAAAAAAAAAAAAAGGAAAGAAAGATAAAGAAGAGAGGGTACTTCTAGCTCTCAATTGTGCAGCTAAGTTGTGGCTGGAGCTTCCTTTGCTTAAGGTGGGGTGCGATGCAGTTGAGCCATGGGGATGAGGATGGTACAGGCTGCTGGAGTGCAGGAAGGTATGAGACAAGCCAGAATATCAGCTCTGCTTTGCAGGAGAGGCTGAAGAGACTGCTTTTTCCCTGGGTGGAGTGGCTGCCTTGGTCCCACTGCCCCTGCTGCAAATGGCTGAGCTGGGAGGACTATCCCTTTGGGGCAGGAAGCTTTCAGGCCAACCCCCTGCTAGCTACTTCTGGCTTGTGCTGAACAGAGGATCTCCTGTCAGACAAAACCTGTATTTTTGACTACTTGCAAACTGGTCTGGCTGGACAGCCAAGCACAAGAAGAGTGTGACTGCACCACCCTCTCAGAGAAACAGAGGCCCTGAGTGCTGAGGGGCAGCCGCAATAAAATGCTGCAGGGCCTGGCCAGGGCATGGTGTGAGCCCAGTGGAGCCAAACAGTCCATTATCTGCACATACAAACCTCCCAAAGGTGAATTACAGACCACCTTCTCCTGGGGGATTTATTAGGCATTATGTCAGTCTTGTCTCCACCTGAGGGGAAAAGGGTTTATCAATCACTTTGAATTTCCTGCAGCACATGGAGTTTGTTTAGGAGCCATCTGCATTGGATGCTTGACTCATGGCACATCCAACAGAAACGTAAGCCCTCTTATTAATACTTGGCTTGCACAAGTATGTTGCACTAACACAATACTTCAGGCAGGTTGATTGGCTGGTTTAGTAACTCTGTCACTCTGTAAACAAACACTTTTTCTTGGAATTTCATTCAGGAGTAGCTTGGGACATGTACAAGCCAACTCCTTCCCTGATGAAAGGCAAGCGACTCCCCAGGAGCTGATTTGCTCCTGTGGGAGAGCAGAGTTGGAGGGAGAGCACTGTGCTCTCACCTACCTGGGGCCATCCCAGCCAGCCTTAATGTTTCAGCAATCCATAGAATACGAAGTGCTGGCTGGCTGGCCCTTTTTAATCTCAACCTTCTCTTCTCGTACCTCTGCGATCCATGCAGGAGGGATGCAGAGCTGAGCATCCCAAGTGGCTGCCAGCCTTTGCTCTGTGGCCCAGTGAGGGCCCTGACGTTTGCCTTGGAAAGGGATGATGTAAATGGTGCCAATACCCAGCAGCTCAGACTTCCTATTGCATACACATCTGACCCCCTGCATAAAAAAAATCCCTCATTTATAATGGTTTCAGCATGCACCTATGCAGAAGGTTTGATGTTGCACCATCTGAGAAAGGATGGAAGTGCAGCAAGGCCAGGAGGTTGGTGACTTTTCCTGAGTTTGTGGCCAGGAGTTGCTCAGCACTGCTGTGTTTGTTCTTAGTTTAGCAAAAGCTGATGAGTAGTGAAAACTGGGGAAAACTGTCTTGTTAACATGTGGGCTTCTCACCTTAGAGTCTACTCATTTTGATTGCACATAAGATGGGTTTTTTTTGTATGCATAACCTGTTGGAGAATCATGTTGGTTCCCAGTTGCTCCACAGAGGACAAGTCTGTTGCATGTCCTAATTGTGGTCCATCTCTGGGCTGAAGCAGGTCTGAAGTGGTCCACTCTTCCATGGCTTGAACAGCAGAGGATTTTCAGTGCCTTGTAAAGAGCCATATTTGCTAGGTAATGAGAAAAACGAGCAGTGGCATCATGATACGTGGCAAGAAAGCCATACAAATACTTACTGGTGCACAACTTGGGTGGGAGCTATTGTCATGGTAAGGCAGAACCAAGGTAGGATCCACAACGAATGATGCCAAAAGCCAGGAGAAAGAGCTCAGCCACTGATACACAAAACTATACTCAAGCAGCCAAGGCTGATGGGAGGGATGGGTGGAGGACAGCAGCCGAGCTTTTTTTGGCCAGCGTGCACAGTTGTGCTCAAGTGTTGCTCAGTGGAATAGCTGGGGTTTTATTTTTAAAACACTTCTCGTGGAAAACAGCATTTTACAACCTGATGGGTGTGAACCGTAGCCCCATAGCAAGCTGGCACACAGCTGTTGTGCAGATGAGGTTGCATGCTCATTTTCTGTGTGGGCTGATTTAGGGGAATTGTGAAAAGAAAAACAGTCCTTGATATCCCATGTTGCTTCCCGGGGTCATTAGCAGCCTCTGGGCTCTTGGCTAGTCATCAATAACTAATTTGAGGATATAGCTTAAGGGCTGTTGTATGAAGCTTTTGGTTATTTCTGCATGCTAGGTCCAGCATATATTTTGTGCATTGGGTACCTTTTCCAGGTCTTCACTGCCCTGCATTACTTCTCCTCCTGTAGCTGTGTTTCCTCCTGGGCAAGCCTAACCTCTCAAGAAGTCTTACACCAATACCAAACCACAGCGTGGTTGGAGTACTTGTGTGATAGCATCATCTGTCACTGCTGAACAACAACAACAAGAAGGAAATGAGCAATATTCCAAGCTGGAGCAGAACAAGAACAGACAAAACAAAAAGGCATACTGTACACCTATGAATCCCTAGCAGGGGGGGGGTATCCAAGCTATGAGCCTCCAAGGAGCTCTGTGTGTCAGTACCAGGTTCTGTTTAAAGATGGGTGTACATCTCTTGGTGAGAGGCAGGACACAACTTCCCCATGGTCTCTCTAAGCTCTGGAGGGTTTCACTGGCTCTGTCTGAATGCAGATAATTTAATAAATACGCATATTTCCATTGGAATTCCACAAATACAGACATAGTGTCTTTACAGCAACTTGAACTATTTTTTTAAAGACTCTAAATGACTTGGTAAACATAGGAGATGAAAAAATGCCCTGAATTATGCTCAGTTTAAAATTCTGAGCTTGCAAACGTTTTGTAATATGTTCAAGATGTTTTCTGTACTGTGTGTCAGCTAGAGTGAATGAGCAGTGGAAAAAGAAAAGAAATAAGAATAAAATTCAATAGGCATTTTAATAAAATGGCAAAACCCAGCTTAAAGCCATAAAAAAGTCATACATTAGCAAAGATCTTGTCACCTGCAGCAAATCCTTCATTTTCCAATGCTATGGCACAGCCACATCTCAAGTTCTGTCTTTGAGACACCAGTGCAAAGGAGATGGTTGGTTTGCTGCAATTTACCCATTCAGCCAAGCAATATTTCCTTCCCTAAGGTACAGGCAAGTTCAGTCATGGATTATGTGTTTGGCTTTCCTCAAGCCACAGCCTCCGCTCATGTTGGTACACCGTGTCCCAATACCAGCCATGACTTGTCCTCTGGATGGCAAGTTGTCCCACCTTCTCTACCTAGGTCCTGGCCACCTGTCCAAACAGGGAAATCCCCCAGCCTCATCTTTCTGTTGCTTTAGCCTTTCTTGCAATGTTTCTCCCAAACATATCTGATGCCACACCATCCCAGCAGGATGTGTGCCTGGATCTCAGCTCCATGGAAACCTCTGTCTCTGTGAAGTGTCCCTCATGGAGCACTCCTTTTGGTCAGAGCCAGCATAGGAGCTCAGCTGAGCACAGAGTGATAGGCAAGGGCATGTTCTGAAATAACTCATTTGAAGTATATTTGTAGAAAAGGTGCAAGGGAATAAAGAGTTAATGATGAGATGCCTTCTAGGTCTATGAGGTTTTTCTTATGTGAGGACTCTAACTCCTAAATTCCAGAGTTACGGGCAAGAAACTGAGACTGGAATCTCACCCCTTATGCCTGAAGAATTACTCAGTTGTTCCTACGGTGGAAATAATGCAAACACTTATTTTAAAATAATGCTGGTTGGGCTTGGAAAATTCAAATTCAGATAGTAGAAAATGATAATTTCAAGGTTACGAAGCAAACATAGCCTTTCTGCACAACTGCAGATCTCACATTCAGTAAGGCAAGGTTCCTGGGGAAAACGACAAATGTAATTAAAACCTGTCTCATCATGTGTGCACACAGGGGAGGGTAAGCTGTGATTGTAATGGTAACTGCTCAAACTGCAGGTGTTTTTATTTTAAGATGGGGTATTAAATGAAACTTCCTGCGTTTATTAACCCAAATATTCTCTTGTATGCTTCTAAGGTGCTGCTGTGATTTGCAAACAAGGCTGAACTTGAATGACACTTTTCAGCACAGACTTCTGTCTTCACAGATAAAAGATATTACTTACCTTAGCTGAGACTGCTACAGGGACCTGCAGCACTGTGCATGCTGCAAATCGTTTCTATCTTTGGAAGCAGTCAGTTGTCCATCCTGAAGGTCTCAGGCTCGTTGTGGTGTAGTGGAGATCCTTCATGGCTGGCAGGACAGAGATGGGGATCCTGCCGGAGTGCTACCATCTCTGCAATTGTGAGAGAGAGAATGTGAGCAACTATGTGTTTAACAAGAGAGTTTTACAGAAGGGGAGAGGACAAAGCTGAAGCCAGGCAGCAGCTTTGGAGGTGGCTGAGGACAATGTGATGCATCACTTCAAAAGAGGAGGAGGAAGGCTCCACTCCCCCCCGTGTAACTCGCTAGTTCCTAGTGCAGCCAGTGCTGTGGGACTATGTGGGATTTTGTGACTTTTATTTCTACTCCAGTTATTGCTGCCACAGTTCTTCCAAGAAATCCAGACAAGGGGAGGTGAATGGTGACTAATTTAGACAACATAAGTAGAGGACTCACGATGTAATACAAGAAACTTAGCGGCTTTCTGATGTCCTTTTGTGAGTGAATTGTGTAGCCCGGTTGTTTAATGGAGCGTTTAAAAATTGTGTTGGCAATAGCCTATGAATAATGTATGCAGGAACAATGAAATACCTTACTGTGAAGAAACTGCTGATATGCTGTGGAACTTTCCATTGGGTGTGAGAATGATTTTGAAAGCTCTGTCTTCTTGGGATGCCCTTTATTTATAGTCTTGCTATACGACTAAAGGGAGATTGCACTCCGTTTTATTTTCCCATATGTAAAGATGCCCTCCACTACTTCTGCCTGTCTTCCAATTTCACTCTATTCCCTTTGCTTATGGCTGTAAAACCTCCTGAATTTTGATGACTATATGCTTTATTAACTGAGCACTGTCAGCGTGGAGATATTTGCTCCATAGCCTCCAGGCATTCCACGTGTCTGCACCAAAACATGCTATGCCGAATGAAGATGAGTATTGTTTTTTTTGTCACAGCAAGGATGTTCCACGGTACAGGAAGCAGAAGTAGGGCCGAGTGATTTGGGAAAAAAAAATAGACCAGCAATTCTTTTTCACGTTTCTGGAGCATGGGATCCTTGCTTGAAATAAGGAACTGCAGCATTGCACACATGGATGTTCAGTTTTCAATGGACTTTTGCAGTGTGAACTCGGCTCTGATCCCTCCGAATTTTTCCCCAAGTCCTCTTTCACTGTATAAGGCCTTCACATCTTTTGGCCATGAGTAGTGGGAAGCTGCTGTGATACTAAGTGGCTAAATCTTGCTTCACTAAAGAAATGAGAAGATTGAGTGTGCTTGAAGAGGTTCTCTGGAGTTTGCACTGCTTTAGTTGCAGACTTCCCTGGACATAGCTCATCAACACTGTGGGTGCACCAGTCACTGTCTCTTCCTTTGCTCCTTGCTTTAACCATTAGCCACAGGAGAAAATAAAATAGTAGCTTTGTTTCTCACCTGAGGTTGTCCACATCTGCACTGAAATGCAGAAGTGCCACAGGAGGGACTCCGAACACAATATTTATCTTATAGCTGTTCAGAACGGTCCCAGACGAGTGTATGGTAAGAGCAGGCCCAGCCTGCAGACTGTACAGCTCTCTATCCCATCTCTGCTGTGGCTTTGTTGTGAGTAGCCCAGTGCTCATGCTGCATTTTTCTGTCTGTACTTACACAACAGACCCTTGAGTCAAAGCATTTCCTGCAATATGGACAGTGTATTATTAGTGTAATGCTTGGACAAAGCAACATGTGATTGATGCTGTTATATTAGTCAGCTAAGGAAGTGATATCCTCACCTTGGAGGTTTGATGTGGTGGGTTTTGAAGTCACATGGTGATAGCAAGCTCCAGGCATGAGCCTACAGGGCAGGAGAGAGAATGGATTAGAAGAGAGTTTGTATCCTCAAGGTGATCTGCAGCTAGCTAAACAAGAGGGAATACATTAGTGCTTTTATTTGGCTTGCTTGCTGCTGTGGTACTCCTGAGGAGTGCAGGATATTCTCAGCTACAGGAAAAGCTATGTATAAAAGGGGTTAGTCTAAACACAAGAGAGGTACAAAGACCACTAATAGGGTTTGACTAAATGTTTTAAATAGGATTGATAAAAAGTATCTAAAATTCCCTCCATCTCCCTTCTGGCAGCCAAGAAGTGTTTTCAGAAGAGGTTTACAAAGATCTACGTTGAAGATGACAATTAAGTTCAAGCAGCCTTTTTCTGGGGTAGAAATGCTGCTGGCTGACTAAGAAAGAAAAGCTTTCAGAGCAGAGGAGATGGTTGCAGTTCAGTCTATTGATGCTTCTGATGGTTCTGTTGATTTCTCTTTTTTCAATGTTTGTTTCTGTAGGTGAAGAGTGAAGGCCCCAAACTTGTGCCCTTCTTTAAAGCAACTTGTGTCTATTTTGTCCTCTGGCTGCCAACTTCCAGCCCTTCCTGGTTCAGTGCCCTCATCAAATGTTTGCCCATCTTCTGCCTGTGGGTTTTCCTTCTGGCTCATGGAATTAATTTTTTAGTGGCACATCGGAGCGCCAGCCGCATCCTAGCAGGACTGATATTCTCAGCAGTGGGAGATGCCTTCCTCATCTGGCAGGAGCAGGGCTACTTCATTCATGGTGAGTATGGTGTGAGTCCTGAAGGGTTACCACAGTGCCCAGCTGTTAGTCTGTTGATTTAATAGTGAGTTCCTTGCCACACGTTTTGTTTGCTCATGTACAGCTTAAATGCCTCGTAGTGTGAGACAGTCATCCCTAGAGTAAAATCCATTGCAGTTAGAGGAGTCATAGCATGGATGAGACTCCTGAGCTTCTCTTGAGGTGTCCTGAAGTCAGAGAGGTCATTAAGACAGGTTTGGCTTCTCGGCACGTGTTTGCAGTGTCTCATCTGGCTGGAGCTGGGAAAGTGGAATGGGCAGAATGTCCCGGGAAGAGGAGGAAACTCACAGCACTCAGCATCTCCCATGAAGCTGCAGGAAGTATCTACCTCCTGTCTCTCTGCGGGGAGATCTGTCAGTCCTCCTCTGCAAGGATGCAGAAGTAAGACACACGATGCCAAGGCCCTCAGTGGACAGAAGGTAGAGAGGATCCTTAAGTTGCAGAAGACAAGCCCACAGCCAGGGGGAGGTGTTTAAATGGATGTCAGAGAGCAAATCATTAGAAATCTTGTCCTACTTTCAGGTTCATCAGCATGAATCATGCAGCCTGTTGTAAAAACATGGGAGCTGGTTTTGCAAGACATATAAATTATGGGGAATCAAGGGCAAACCCTACCATGACACCCTGTCATCTCTACAGAAAGATCTACATGTCTCAGAGCAAAACAAACTTATTTTATTTCACTGTTTTGCAAACTAGAAGATAATGGCTTAGATTAATGATCTAAAGCCACATTGAGTCTGCCTGCAGCAACACTTGACATGGCCTTAGACTGTCATAAGAAATCAGCAGCATTTAAGTCCTTCACTTCACTGCATCAGTGGCGTTTTTGAAGTCAACTTCACCAGCAGAGGGATCTCATTTAACACCCACCATTAGCTAGCTGCTGACTGTCCCACTGGAAAATGTGATGAGATAGGGGAACTTTTCTGACTTCTATGAACGTCAAAGGCTTATTTTTTGCTCCTTGTATGAAGTCAGTATTTAGTTCTATTCTGGAATTCCCACAAGCTCTGCTTTCTTTATGAGAGGAAAGTATGTGAAATGCTAGATATGAAAAGCCAAACGCTTTGAATCTGGTTTTAATCCTGCTTCCCAAGGGTTTATCCAAATCTTATTAAAACTTCCTGTAAAAACTCTAAAGATTTTGGTGGGGTGTAGATTAGGCCCTGGGGACTGGATCTGTTTGGCTGAACTGTGGGCATGTTGCTGAGAAGCTCCGACTATCTCTTGGGTTGCCATCCACACTGTGCTGAGTGTTGGCGTTCCCACTGACAGGCCTCCTCTTAACAGGAATGCACGGCTCAGCACAAGTTACCCTGGCCCAGCTGCCCATGCTTCTGTTTTGCCTCCTGTCATTGCTTCTTGAGCTGTGGCTTGGAAAACATTCAAGACCTGATTCTCACCGTGACCGTTTTTGTACATGGGCTGTGCATAAGTTCCCCATTCCCACGTAGTTGGGATATCTCTGAGTCACTTCTTTGATTTAATGATAGAGGAAGGCCAACCTGTCACAGCAATTCAGTATTGAGTTCAAGTGTTTTAATCTGCAAATCAGCTGGAATTTTTACCCAATTTGTGGGTTTTGACTGATTTTTCTTCTTGACTTAATGAGAATGCTTGCTTAGCTCTCTTGGAGCATTTTAAGAACCTCAGCCTGGATCTCTGGCTTTCTCTTGTCTGCCTCAGTCTGTACTAATATGAGCTACTGCCTTCTGTAGTGAAGTGTTAACACTTGCATTTCAGCTGTCAGCAAATAAAGTGCACCACCCCACTTATCCTTTCCTGCAGAAGGTATTTTCTCCTAAACACAGCAAGCTGCTGTTGTTGACAACTGACAACATTCAAACTTTTGACATCAACCCTTGTGGGAATTTCAAATTTCAGGGGAATAAAAGGAATTACTAGAGAATAATGTATTTTCTCTTCAATTTCTATGGCTTTCAGGCAGAAAAAAAGGTTGAGATCTGAGTTGAGTTGAATAGCTTTTGAGACAATGAGTTTATAAAAAGACATTTGTTCATTATTTTACAGGGAGGTGAGAGCCTGGGAACCTACTCCTGGCACACTTCACCTTTCATTTTTGCTGTTTCAGTCTACAAATAGCAAGCTATTTTCTGACTGGTGTCTTCCTGCATGTGGAAGATACTTCACAGTGTTAACACCCATGTCCTTTGATAATGGGAGCACAGAAACAATTATGCATTCAGTAGAGAAGATGGAGGCTAACAGAAAGGACTCACTGCCAGCCTGAGCAGAAACTCCAGGGCAGGGGAAGTGGGAAGGAAACCTGGGCTCTGTGATTCCATCTAACTGGCCCAGAATAAGGCAGAGAGCGGAAGGAAGCAGATGATAGATAGAAAAGGCTGATCTGCCTGGTGAGACTGGAGGGCTGAGCCAAAGGCTGAGAAATGCAAGCAAATTGCACCCTGCTCCATGCACATCTCTGACAGGTTTCCCTGGTTCTTGGCTTTATTTGTGGGCTCTGAATGAGCAAACCTCAGAGCTGACTCTCTTGTGACCTCACCATATATCACAGAACTCCTCCTGCCTTTCTGGGCTTCTGCTTGGCTGCTGTATCTTGTCCTCCTCTGCCTTGCTGCTGGCTGCCTACATGAAGGACAACTCATTCTTCAGTTCCCCATTCCAGCACTTTCTACACAATGCCACTGAAGGAGAAATCACTCCTCATAGCTAGGACGAAGTAACCTTCCCCTCCTGACCACTCCATGGCTCTAACCTTTCCTGCATTATAAACATTTCTCATCCTAAATCCCTCCTCTCTCAGTGCTGCACTCATGAAACCTCTGAAATATCAACTTTTTGTTGCCCTTCTTTGCAATTCCTTTTCCTTCCCACTGTCCATTTCCTCCCCTTGCAGACTAAATCCTCACTAGCCCTCTCCCTCCTGTGTGTTCCCCTCTCATGCCATGATGGCTAAATGGATGTTGATCCCAAAGGCTGGGAGATGCTTCTCCTTTTATCTGCCTCAGAGAGTACTGGGATGAGGAGATATCTGCCAGCAGCAGGATTTAGCAGTTCCCCTTTGTACTACAGCACTGGGCTTTAAAATGCAAACAGGTGTCCTGCTGTAGGTCTTAGCTTCCCAGATCATTTTCTCCATTCTGTACATTAAAGCTGCATGAAAACATCCTGGCACTGTAATTAACCCTGCCCAAGTAAAGTAGAACAGCCTTTAGCTGCACCGAACATGGGTTTGGGGCCTACTATGTGCAAGTAGTAGCCAGCAACATGGCTACTACCAAAACATGGTGACATTTTTTGTCAAATGGGTTAATGGCAAGTGATTAACACAAGGGTGGTACCTTCCATCTGGGATTTCTCAGGCGTGTTGCACTTCAAAGGGAAGCCAGCATTTTATTTTCACTGATTGATTCCAGCTAAGGTTCATATGAATCTTGCAAATAGCCATAACACTGTTGGCAGATCTTATTGGTGTAGTCCCTGAAATATGTCAGCTGCTTAGGTCTCTCCTAGCTATGAGCAGAAATGAGTAAAAGCCAGATGCAGTCCCTGAGTTCTTTTGGGTTTGGGGCTAACTATGGTTAGATTTTCTATCTAGATTGAGAAGGATCACTATCTTATCACATTTTGTTCTGACATGGCTCTGATTCCAACGTTCCTGTTCCATTTGACCTAGGAGTGAAATGGTTCAGATGATAGATAATTAGAGGAGATTACCTTTGCTCTGCCTTGCCCTCACCTTTCTGTCCAAAGCAGTAAAGGCATCATCTGAGAAACAGGCTTTGTTCTTTCTGCAGCAGCTTGGCTTACCCAGCCTCTTGGCAAAAAGTTGTGCATCACAACAGAGTCGTTCTCAGCTGCAGCTGTAGAAGTACTGAAACTCTTTCTTAGGGCAGGAACCTGGTGCTAAAGTCGATCTGTGCAAACTTTTTAAAATTAAAATGGCCCCAAGTGCTCAGTGGGGTATCTGATTAAATCAAATGAGGGTTGTAACACAACAAGGACATCTATACCTGGAGTAGCTTCTGTATATTTCAAATCCAATGTATCCATGTTTTCTTTTGCTACTGACTGCAGTCACTGTCAATGCCTCTTTCCAGGTCTGCTGATGTTCGCCATCACACACATCCTGTACTCCTCAGCCTTTGGCATGAAGCCTTTGGACCTGAAAGCCGGCTTGATGATGGGCCTCATTTCCAGCTCCTGTTATGCCTTCCTGTACTCCTACCTCTCGGGCCCATTCACCTACCTGGTAGCT